ACCCAGCACAGCATGACACCCTTGACTCACCTCCTCATCTTGCAGGTGGTTTAACAGAGAATTCACACGGTCAGAAAAGGTGGGGACAGCTGCAGGGACAGAGTCTGTTGCCCTGCTTCCATCCTCTGGAACAGGAACTTGGGAACAGCAACCTCCACAAGTGGAGAGACCTGAAAACAAGAGAAGCAGAGGAGGAGCATCCGCTCTGCTGGCCTCATTCGCCTGCACTATTTTAGGGCAAATATCTCCCCAGCCCGGAGAGAAAGCATCTCTCAGGAGAGGCTGAGAGAGCTGGAACTGTTCAGCCTGTAGAAGAGATGACTGAAAAGGGATCTTATCAACATGTACAAATGTCTGATGTGAGGGTGTAGAGAAGATGGGGGCAGACACTTCCCAGAAGCACCCAGGGTAAGGACAAGTGGGTGAAAACTTCCAACACAGGAAGCTCCTGTGTGAACATAAGGAAAACTCTTTTTTACCACAAGGGAAACAGGGTACTGGAGCAGGTTGCCCTGGGAGTCTCCTTCCTTGGAAATATTCAAAAGCAGTCTGGAAACAATTCTAGGCCACATGCTCCGGGTAGAGCTGCTTGAGCAGGGGGCTGGACTAGATGATCTGCAGAGATGCCTGCCAACCTCAACCTTTCTCTAATTCTGGTGTTCAGAACCAGAACTCTAATTCTGGAACAGCCCCAGCCCCTCACATTCAAGTGCCTGGAGTCTCCTCATGGTGCCAATCCAGGGACAGCGACACAGTGTCAACCCCGCGCAGAAACCAGGCCGGACGGTGCCGAGTCGCTCTGCTGCGCCATCTTCATGGCCACAGAGCCCTGCGGCCAAGGAGGCCCTGCCCTGGACACGCCCATGGCACAGGACTGAGACCAATCGGGGCCTGCTTGGGGACACACCCCCCGGCTGCTGGCCAATCAAGACTTGCCCCGGAACCCACTCGCACACCTCACAAAGGACTGTCGGCCAATAAGGACTCTGCGCCTGGGCCACGCCCCCTCAGGCCGGGGGCCAAAGCCCAAGCTCCCCATCTCCCATCATCCCTCCAAGGGGGCTGGTCACTGCCTTGGCTCCCTGCCCCTCCCTGGTCTGTCCTCACAGCCATAGAAGTTTCATTGACAGTTCATCTTCATGACAGTCTTACGATTTTTTTGATGAATTATGTTAAGATAGCCAGCTATTAGATAGTTACTTCTCCCATGTCCTGACAAATTTTACAGTTTCTGTAAATAAATTTCTGCAGAGTTCCAAAACATAAGTCACGAAAATTTAATGACTGTGTCTTTACTAGAATACATGATCTCTGTATGAGGACTAAGGAACATAGCTTAGACCTAGGTGGGAAAAGCTGTGCTGCATTCAGCTCTGTCACTACACCTGCTCCATGACTAAGGAGAGCATTTACATTCCCAAAGCTGTCAAACACTAGTGAGGAACAGAAGTCTCACTGCATGTGCTAAACATTTTAGTGCTAAATGCATATTCAATTACCCTACTTGTCATCAACCTTCTAATGAAAAATAAGCATTAGTGTCAAATCTTGCTAATGCTATGTTCTTCTGGGTGTATCTATGTTACAAGCTTAATTTCTGTATGTTGCCACAAAGAATAATAGAGGGGGAACATTGTATTTCAATTTTCCTTACACTACTATTAAGCACAGTCATTGGAGTGCCTAGGCTGGCCTACACACTAGGGCACATTCTGGGGATAGAGATTTAAAATAATGGGATCTTGGCATCACAATTACTATTTTAATTACATATTTCTTACCCATACATTTTGTTAATGAATTACTCTGGGTAGTATTTTTGGCAAAACTCATATGCATTAATTCCCCCATGAGCACCTATCGGTATGTTCCTAATAGGAGCCTATTAGCTTTTGTTAAACAAGCAAGGGAAAATGAGCACAAGTGGTATATCTATAGTAATACTGAAGTACTCCTACATAGGTGGATTTTAACTATCCATTTGTCACCATTATTCGATGTGGAAGGTCCAAGCACAGATACCATTTGAAGAACAGCCAACTTGGCTGTGTGAATTGAGATGATTGTGGTACCTCTGCTTTGTCTCAGTTTGTGTTAAAATAAACTCCCTTTTCCTAAGGTGCAGCAGGCATCTGAGGTCAGGGAAAATGGAGCTATCCAGCTCTATATGCTTGTACCTTGTCTTCCACGCTCACTATTCATTTTCTTGGCTCATGGGTAAAGCACTGGCTAGAGATACTGCATTTCTCTTGATTCTCAAAGGTAAGAGAGTGTTGCAAAGTTATGACTGTATTTAATAGTAAAACCAAAATTCTTAGTAGCTCTTTTACTCATTATGCATTCCTGCATAAAATTTGATCTTTCAACATCTTCAGAATACAGTGAGACTATACAACCACAGAACTTTTTCCTTATCATTAGAAGAGAGTCAAAAAAACCTTAACCAAAAAACAAACCAAAACCAATACCAATCTCACATTATTACTTTCTCGAAAAAACTAGCTGTATTTTTACTCAAGGTATTTCAATATCTAGTATAATGCATGCTCTCTTCTAAGTCTCTTATCTGCGTAAAAAAACTGATATGAAGTGCCTGGGAGGAATGTTTTAACATACCTGTATGCGAGTGTTAAGACGGACAGTGAAGTTTTTACCACAAAAAAAAAAAGGGATAAGGTAGCATTATATCTTCCCTCTCCTGCTGTGACTTTACGACCAAAACTATAGTTTCCACACAATCCATTGGAATTAAGCTAAATATTCAGTTTTCATATAAAATGTCTTCTTTCATAAAACAAATATTTTCACTAGGCTCATGCAAGGGGAAATCTCATGATACTGAAGACTGACTTAGACAGTAGTTCAAATACCACTGAACCTTGAAATGAAGATGAATTCTGCATTTTATGATCATTCATACTAAGATTAAAAGGGCGAAGCTTGAACATAAACTGCTGTAAAAGTAGCACCAACCACCTAGTCTGGTTAATATCTAAGTCCATCTAAGTGTGTCTGCCTAAGTCTGTCCAAGCCCATCTGTCCAAGTCCCTCTATCTCAGTCTGTCTGCCCAAGTCCATCTC